GGTACTGTTCTATTTGCAAATTTTGAGGAGAAATTTGTAAAACGGTATTGAAAATCAGAAACGCAGAAAATCATAAGGAGTTTGGACAGAGTAGACAAAAAGAAACTGATCCTTTTTTTTTGTCTATTCATTTGTGGGATGTGAGTGTCGCTGGCTGGCCAGCATTTCTTGCCAATCTCTAGTTACCCTTGAGAAGGTGGTGGTGAGCTGGCTTCTTGAGCCGCTGCAGTCTACCTGCTGTGGGATGACACACAATGCTATTAGAAAGGGAATTCCAGGATTTTGACCCAGCAACAGTGAAGTAACAACGATATATTTCCAAGTCAGGATGGTGAGTGGCTTAGAGGGGAACTTGCAGGTGGTGGTGTTCCCATATGACTGATGGTCCTGCCCTAGATGGAAGTGGTTGTGGGTTTGAAAGGTGCTGTGTGAGGATCTTTGGTGAATTTCTGCAGTGCATCTTGTAGCTAGTACACACTGCTGCTACTGAGCGTTGGTGGTGGAGTGAGTGGATATTTGTAGATGTAGTGCCAATCAAGCGGGCTGCTTTGTCGTGGACGGTGTCAAGCTTCTTCAGTGTTGTTGGGGTTGCACTCCTCCAGGCAAGTGGGGAGTATTCCATCACACTCCTGACTTGTGCCTTATAGATGGTGGACAGGCTTTGAGGAGTCAGGAGGTGAGTTACTCGCCGCAGCATTCCTAGCTTTTGGCCTGCTCTTGTAGCTACTGTGTTTATGTGGTGAGACCAGTTGAGTTTCTGGTGAATGATAACCCCCAGGATGTTGATATTAGGGGATTCAGTGATGGTAACACTATTGAATGTCAAGGGACGGTGGTTAGATTGTCTCTTACTGGTGATGGTCATAGCCTGGCATTGGTGTGGCGCAAATGTCACTTGCCACTTGTCAGCCCAAGCCTGGATAATGTCCAGATCTTGTTGCATTTGAACATGGACTGCTTCAGTATCTGAGGAGTCACGAATGGTGCTGAACATTGTGCAATCATCGATGAACATCCCCACTTCTGACCTTATGATGGAGGGAAGGTCATTAATGAAGCAGTGGAAGACAGTTGGCCCTAGGACACTACCCTGAGGAAGTCCTGCAGAGATGTCCTGGAGCTGAGATGATTGACCTCCAACAACCACGACCATCTTCCTTTGTGTCAGGTATGACTCCAACATTGGAGAGTTTGCCCCCTGATACCCATTGATTCCAATTTTGCGAGGGCTCCTTGATGCCACACTTGGTTGAATGCAGCATTGCTATCAAGGGCTGTCACTCTCACCTCACCTCTGGAATTCAGCTCTTTTGTCCATGTTTGAACCAAGGCTGTAATGAGGTCAGGAGCTGAGTGGCCCTGGTGGAACCCAAACTGGACATGACTGAGCAGATTATTTCTGAGCTGGTGCTGTTTGAAAGCACTGTCGATGGCACCTTCCATCACGTTACTGATGATTGAGAGTAGACTGATGGGGTGGTAATTGGCTGGGTTGGATTTGTCCTGCTTTTTGTGTACAGGACATACTTGGGCAATTTTCCACATTATCAGGTAAATACCAGTGTTGTAACTGCACTGAAACAGCTTGGCTATGGGAGCGGCAAGATCCAGAGCACAAGTCTTCAGTACTGTTGCCGGAATGCTGTCAGGGCCTGTAGTCTTTGCGGTATCCAGTGTCTCCAACCGTTTCTTGATATCACATGGAGTGAACTGAACTGGCTGAAGACTGGTATTTGTAATGCTGGAGACAACTGGAGTAGGCTGAGATGGATTATCCACTCGGCACTTCTGGCTGAAGATTGCTGCAAATGCTTCAGCCTTAACTTTTGCACTGATGTGCTGGGCTCTTCCATCATTGAGGATGGGGATATTTGTGGAGCCTCCTCCTCCAGTGAGTTGTTTAATTGTCCACCACCATTCACGACTGGATGTGGCAGGACTGCAGAGCTTAGACCTGATCCATTGGTTGTGGGATCGCTTAGCTATGTCTATCACTTGCTGCTTTCGCTGTTTGGCATGCCAGTAGTCCTGTTTGGTATCTTCTCCAGGTTGATACCTCATCTTCAGGTACGCCTGGTGCTGCTCCTGGTGTGCCCTCCTGCACTTTCCATTGAACCAGGGTTGAATCCCTGGCTTGATTGTAATGGTTGAGTGGGGGATATGCCAGGCCATGAGGTTACAGATTGTGCTGGAGTCTAATTCTGCTGCTGTTGATGGCCCACAGCGCCTCATGAATGCCCAGTCTTAAGTTGCTAGATCTGTGCGAAGTCTGCCCCATTTAGCACAGTGATAGTGCCACACAACATGATGGAAGTTATTCTCAATGTGAAGGCAGGACTTCATCTCCACAAGGATTGTGTGATGGTCACTCTTACCAATAATGTCATGGACAGATGCAACTGCAGCTGGTAGATTAGTAAAGATGAGGTCAAGTATGTTTTTCCCTCTTGTTGGTTCTCTCACCACCTGCCACAGACCCAGTCTAGCAGCTATGACCTTTAGGACCTAACCAGCTCAATCGGTAGTACTGTTGCCGAGCCACTCTTGCTTGTGGACATTGAAATCCCCCACCCAGAGTACATTTTGTGTCCTTTCCATCCTCAGTGCTTCCTCTAAGCGGTGTTCAACATTGAGGAGCACTGATTCATCAGCTGAAGGAGGACGGTTTGTGGTAATCAGCAGGAGGTTTCCTTGCCCATGTTTAACCTGAATCCATGAGACTTCACGGGGTCCAGAGTCAATGTTGAGGACTCCCAGAGCAACACCCTCCTGACTGTATACCACTGTGCCCCACCTCTGCTCAGTCTGTCCTGCCAAAGGGACAGTACATATCCAGGGATGGTGATGGTGGTGTCTGGAAGGTATGATTCTGTGAGTATGACTATGTCAGGCTGTTACTTAACTAGTCTGTGAGACAGATCTCCCAACTTTGGCACTAACCCTCAGATGTTAGTGAGGAGGACTTTGCAGGGTCAACAGGGCTGTTTCTGCCATTGTCGTTTCTGGTGCCTACGTCTATGCCAGGTGATCTGTCCGGTTTCATTTCTTTGAGGCTTTGTAGCGATTGGTACAACTGAGTGGCTTGCTAGGCTATTTCAGAGGGCAATTGAGAGTCAACCGCATTGCTATGGGTCTCGAGTCACATGTAGGCCAGACCAGGTGAGGATGGCAGATTTCCTTCCCAAAAGGACATTAGTGAACTAGATGGGTTTTTCTGACAATCAGCAATGATTTCATGGTGATCAGTAGATCCTTAATTCCAGACATTTTTTTCTAATTATTGAATTCAAAGGACCAAAGGACCAATTCCTGTGTTGCTGTTTAATGTTCTTTTGTATTACTGACAAATGACAAATAACTTGCCCACTACACAGTGCCAGGCAATGACCATCTACAGCAAAAGAGAACCCACCAGTGCCCCTTTGAAAATGAACAGCATTGCCATTGTTGACTCCACTGCTGTCACCATCCTTAGAATTACCATTGACCAGAAACTGAACTGGACTATCCATATAAATACTGTGGATTTGAACCCAGGTCCCCAGAACATTAGCTGTGTTTCTGGATTAATAGGGCAACACGGTGGCTCAGTAGTTAGCACTGCTACCTCACATTGCCAGGAACCCAGCTTCAATTCCACCCTTGAGCGACTACCTGTGTGGAGTTTGCACATTCTCCCCGTGTCTACGTGGGTTTCCTCCAAGTGCTCCGGTTTCCTCCCATAGTCCAAAGATGTGCACGCTAGGTGGATTGGCCATGCTAAATTGCCCAGTATTCAAGGATGTGTAGATTCGTTGGGCTATAGGGGAATGGGTCTGGGTGGGATGCTCTGAGGGTTGGTGTGGCCTTGTTGGGCTGAAGGGCCTGGTTCCACACTGTAAGGATTCTATGATAATATCACTAGACCATCGTCTGCCCTCAATGGGAGGAAATATTAGTGGAACATTCAAGAATAGTGGGGCACAGACATAATTTGACTGGCAATAGAAGCAATGGTGATATGACAAGGAACCTTTTCATGCAACAAATGGTTAAGATCTGTAATGCACTTGCCTGTGTGTGTAGTAGAGGTAGGTTCAGACGAAGCAATAAAAAAGACAATGGAGTCATTATCTAAAGAGGAAAACAGTGCAAGGCTTTGGGAAAAGGCAGGGATGTGGCAGCAGTTGGATTGCTTCTGCACTCTGTCAGCATGGACACGATGGGTTGAATGGCTGTCTCTGTACCAAAGTGATTCTATGTGGCAAATTCAGCTTTGAATCACTCTCCTTTGATATTAGTCTGCATCTCTGGTCAATCAATCTGTATTTGGTAGTGTTGATTGAGGGAAGAACATCAGCTGGAATATTAAATATCAAAATTCCTCTGCACTTCGTTTTAAATAATGCCCTGGGATTCTTTGCAGATGAACATTGGCTTAATGCTCCATGTGACAAATCACAACATCTTCCCACCAATATTTCCTATTCTTCAGTGGGCAGGTTTGTAATTCAGGCTAGGAATTGGGAATAACATGTTCTCTGTCAAGCAGTTTATTTTGCTTTTACTGTAGCGATTGTAGTTTAAATATATTTATTTCCCTAATTTTTATTGGTGGATTTTTAAAAAAATCCACATTTTCTCTCAGAAGCTGTTCTTAAAATTATTGTTTTTGGACATGTACAATTGTTAAGAAAGGCTCAATCAAATTCCTTGCCGTTAAAATTCACAGGATAAAGCCATCATATTAATTTGTACCACAAAAATTGGCTTATGTGAAAAATGGGTTAAGTCTCATTGCTAAGGTGAAGTGGTAAATTGACCTGGAAGTATTTAATGCTAATAATTGCATTTTAATTACTTTGTAAATTTGTTCAATTCAATGACACTAGAATCCCTGGGTGTTAGAAGCACAAAAAATGTATGAAGGCTCCAATTCCAACACAAGTTGTTCTTTAAGTTGTTATTTTTATCCAACATTCTTTTCTCATAAATAATTGACAGATTTCTGTGAAACCTACCTAGTTTCCTTTGAGAACAGTTTGATACATGCTGTGTGCCCACAGTACATTGCATATGTTAGAGGAGTGTTTTCATTGATGTCCCTTGGACTGCTGTCCACCCCCAGCTGCATCAATGATTGTACACAATCTGCTTTCCCCGCTGCTGCAGCCCAGTGAAGAGGTGTCCTAGAAAAAAAATGAAAAAGTTAAAATATTGTTACATTTGAATACAGCCAGTAAAAATTTTACTGGTATTAGCTTATCACACAGTAACAGCCCGTTATCAGGTACTTCAGTTCACACAGTAGAAAAGTTAAATGGGAAAAATTTCCTGGAAAAAATAAAGTGATAAATAAAGCTTTCACAATAAGATACAACTTTGTTCTGAGTTGTGAGGAGAAGTTGGAAATTCGAGTTACTTTTCAGCAAACTGTTAAAGACTTAGGGTTCTGAACTTAAAGTTGAAAACCACTGCATTTACAATAATGCAATACGTACAAGGTACTTACATTAGCACAGACCCATTGGACCCGGAATCCAAAAGAATGGTACTTCTAAGGTGCAGCATTCCTTAGATCAGGACCCGGAATCCAAAAAAACGGCACTTCTAAGATGCAGCATTCCTTAGATCTGAAGGGATGAATTTTTTAGTGGTTTTCAGGACTCCAACATCAGAATGAAGAGGGAACTGGGTATTAAATATCCCTGACACAAGGGGTAGCAATATTGACTAAGGCTAATATATAGAATAAGTGCTGGAGAGAGAATATCCTGGAGGTAAAGGACAGAATATATTTGTTTAGTACTTAGATAGTATGGATATATCTACTGGGTACCCACGAACTGGTGTGAGAAAAATGGTAGGACAAATTTGTAAGGCAAGTACAGAGAAGTGCAAAGCTTTAGATTAATTCTCATGGGGTCTTACAGTAATTACAAGGGAAAATTCTGAAACGTGTTCAGGAGAATTTTCTAGAAAATTTGCGCACTGCATAATATGCAGTTACTGAAAAGGGAGGCATTGCTGGATCTGTTTCCAGGAAATGAAGGGAGACATGGGGCTCAGGGGTTAGCACTGCTGTGTCACAGTGCCAGGGACCCGGGTTCAATTTCAACCTCAGGTGGCTGTGTGTGGAGTTTACATGTTCTCCCTGTCTCTGTGTGGGTTTCTATCATGGCTAATCTACCCAAGGATGTGTAGGTTAGGTGCGTTAGCAATGGGAAATGCAGGGTTACAGGGATTGGGAATAAGGTAGGGGAGTGGAACTGGTTTGCTGTTTGGAGTGTCATTGTGGACTCTTTGGGCCGAATGGCCCGTTTCCACACTGTAGGGATTCTATGGAAACAAGGGTCAAGATTTAGGAGATTCTTAGCACAGTTTTATAAGATATAGGTTACTTATGGAAAAAAAAACAAGACGAGCAATCTAATATGGATTAATTGGAAACAAATATAGGCTGAGAAATGGAATCAAACAACATGTTGTCTTTTAAATTGAAGATGGTTCTGGAAAGTTCAAGGTAGAATAGAGTAGAGAATAGAAAAATAATTTATTGTCACTCTATTCTTGTACAAAATAAAACAGTGAAATGTGTTTAAGTCTCCATACCATGGCACCTAGAATAACAGAAGGCTTGGATAAGAAATAAAATAAAATAAAATTAAGACCAAGTCCACTGGTTCAGTTCATAACTTCTGAGTTTAGGAAAACAGTACCACTGGAGAAAGCTGATGAAGCCACCGCTGAAGGCGACGACCACCACGCCAGCTGCTGGAATCCTGGGTTGCAAGACTCTGCAGAATCTCAAAGCCTCCCCAAGGACCCGACTAGTTGCTGATCCAGGGTCGGAAGACATTGCAGAAGCCATCCAAGGGAATCCTGGGCTGCTGGATGTTGGCCGAAACCACCTCATCGCCAAAGCTGCTGCCAACCCGGACCATGCTGCCGAAGACACTGAAGCAGACCACCACCAGATGTTATCATAATGGCCATGGGGAACCGCCATTGCCGCTGCAGCAGCCGCCTGAAACATCCCTCCCCCACTGAAGCCACCAAAAGAAGGTAAGATGAATATTGATGTTAAAAGTAATAAGTGGAAAAACTGAAAAAAAAAGGATGTAGCAGGCCTGGAAATCAGAAGCAGACATGCTCAGGAGTCCAAACATTTCCTACCCTGTTGCCGCCATCATTAAAACAAGGTATATTCACAAGAGGAGTAAAGTTAGTGTAACCAAACCCAGATAAAAGAGTTATCAAGTGAGATGAGCACAAAAAGCATGTGCATTAAATTATCAGTTTGATAATGAAGGGAGAACCTGGCTGAATATAGAAAGTTCAGAGGGGATGTCAAAAAGAAATAAAAGCAGCAAAACAGGAATACGAAAAGAGACTAACAACTAACGTAAAAAGGAACCCAAAAGTCTTCTATTGGGATATAAATAGTAAAATGGTGATAAAAGGAGTTGTGCCAATTAGGGAACACCAATAACCTGCTCAAGTTAACCTGTTCAAGTTAACCTGCTCAGTGATGCCCAATTTGGGTTCTGCCAGGGCCACACAGCTTCTAACCTCATTACAGCTTTGGTTCAAACATGGATAAAATAGCTGAATTCCAGAGGTGAGGCGAGAGTGACAGCCCTTGACATCAAGGCTGCATTCAAATGAATGTGACATCAATGAGGGCCCAAGCAAAACTGGAAACAATGGGTATCAGGAGGCAAATTCTCTGCTGGTTAGAGTCATACCTGGTACATTGGAAGATGATTGTGGTTGTTGGAGGTCAGTCATCTCAACTCCAAGACAGGCGTTCCTCAAGGTAGTGTCCCATCTATCTTCCCTACATCATAAAGTCAGAAGTGGGGATGTTCACTGAAGATTGCACAATGTTCATCACCATTCAGATACTGAAGCAGTCCATGTTAGTATGCAATATCCAGGCTTGGACTGACAAATGGCAAGCAACATTCATGTGACAGAAATTCCAGGCAATGACCAACACCAATAACAGACAATCAAATCATTGCCTCTTGACACTCAACGATGTTACCATCACTGAATCCCCCACTATAAACGTCCTGGGGGTTATCATTGATCAGAAACTCAACTGGACTTGCCATATAAACACAGTGGATACAAGAGCAGATCAGAGGCTAGGAATACTGTGGTGAGTAACTCATCTCTTGATTTCCCCAAAACCTGTCCACCATTTACAAGGCACAAATCGTGAATATTATTGGAAGACTCCACACTTGCCTGGATGAGTGCAGCCCAACAACACCCAAGAAGCTTGACACCATCCACGACAAAGCAGCCCACTTGAAAGGCACCACATTCACAGGCATTTACTCCTTCCACCATAGACGCTCAATAGCAGCAGTGCATACTATCTGCAAAATGCACCGTAGGAATTCACCAAAGATCCTCAGACAGCACCTTCCAAATCCACAACCACTTCCATCTAGAAGGATAAGTGCAGCAGATTCATGGGAACGCCACCACTTTCAAGTTCCCCATCAAGCCATTCACCATTCTGACTTGGAAACATATCACATTCCTTTACTGCATCAAAATCCTGGAATTCCATCCTCAAGGGCATTGTGGGTCAACCTATGGCATGTGGATTGCACTGCTTTAAGAATGTAGGTCACCACCACCTTTGCAAGGGAAACTAGGAATGGGCAATAAAAATATCAGCAAACCAGCAGCGCCCATGTCCCACAAGTGAATAAAAAAAGAGAACTAACACACAAAGGACATAGCTGAGATACTAAGTGACTACTTTATACCTGTGTTTACCAAAGAACTTGATATTTTCAAAGACACGCAAAAACAGAGGCAGTTGAGACTCCAGATGAACAAAAAATTAATAAGGAGCAAGTATTAGAAATATTGGCTGAATTTAAAATTGAGATGCTACTTTAATTTAACCATTTGCACTGAGAATATGAACAGAATATTGGACCTTATGGTGGCATTAGCCATAATTTACAATTCTCCTTTGAAATAAGAGTTGGTGGCAAAGGTCTTGAGAATTTCAAATGTTATATCCTTATTCAAATATGTTCAGCAACTAAAGGCCAGTCAGTTTAATCTCAGGAAAGAAATTTTGATATGATAATCTGGAACAAAGTTAAGTCCTTTGTACATATATGTATTAATTGAAGTAAGCCTACACAGATTCATAGGACATAAGAACAGGGGTAGGCCATTCAGCCTGATAAGCTTGTTCCACAATTCAGTGAGATCATGGCCGATCTGTGGCCTAACCCATATACCTACCTTTGGCCCATATCCTTTATTACCTTTGCTTAACAAAAGATTATCTCAGATTTAGAATTCACAACTGAGGACCAATTTTGTTTAATTTGATTGAGTTTTTGATCAAGTAGCAGGCAAGGTTGATGAGGTTAATGCTATTGAGGTGGTGTGCATGGACTTCCAAAAGCATTTGATAAAGTGAAATGTTTCAAAGAGGTGGTGTCATAGTGGTAATGTCACTGAACTAGTAATCCTGAACCCCAGCCCCACCACACCCGGCACTTTTCCCTGCAACTGCAGGAAGTGCTACACCTGCCCCTACACCTCCCCCCTCACCCCCATCCCAGGCCCCAAGAAGACTTTCCACATCAAGCAGCTGTTCACCTGCACATCTGCTAATGTGGTATACTGCATTCGCTGTTCCCGTTGTGGCCTCCTCTACATCGGGGAAACCAAGCTGAGGCTTGGGGACCGCTTTGCAGAACACCTACGCTCGGTTCGCACTAAGCAACTGCACCTCCCAGTCGCGAACCATTTCAACTCCCCCTCCCATTCCTCAGACGACATGTCCATCCTGGGCCTCCTGCAGTGCCACAACGATGCTACCCGAAGGTTGCAGGAACAGCAACTCATATTCCGCTTGGGAACCCTGCAGCCCAATGGTATCAATGTGGACTTCACAAGCTTCAAAATCTCCCCTCCCACTACTGCATCCCAAAACCAGCCCAGCTCGTCCCCGCCTCCCTAACCTGTCCTTCCTCCCACCTATCCCCTCCTCCCACCTCAAGTCCCACCCCCATCTCCTACCAACTAACCTCATCCCGCCCCCTTGACCAGTCCGTCCTCCCTGAACTGACCTATCTCCTCCCTACCTGCCCACCTACACTCACCTTTACTAGCTCCATCCCCGCCTCTTTGACCTGTCTGTTTCCTCTCCACCTATCTTCTCCTCTATCCATCTTCTATCCGCCTCCCCCTCTCTCCCTATTTATTTCAGAACCCCCATCCCCTCCCCCATTTCTGAAGATGGGTCTAGGCCCGAAACATCAGCCTTCCTGTTCCTCTGATGCTGCTTGGCCTGCTGTGTTCATCCAGCTCTACACCTTGTTATCCCAGGTTAATGTTTTGGGGATATGAAGATTTGAATCCAGTCGTGGCAGATGATGAAATTTGAATTGAATAAAAATCTGTAACAAATTAGCTAACCTAATGGTAACCGTATAACCACTGTTAATTGTTGTAAAAACACATTTCGTTCACCAATGACCTTTAGGAAACAAAATCTACCATCATTGCTTGTTCTGACCTACTCATCACTCCAGACCCACAGCAATGTGGTTGACTCTCAGTTACCCTCAGGATGGCCAATAATGCTCCCTTACCAAGGATGCGCATTACCCAAGAATAAGTAGATAAAAGATGGCTTGTCAAAGAAGTATAAAGACCAATGCATTCCTTAATCCATTTCAATGATGTAGACTAGAATGTGCAGAATACAATTTCACGTCCCTTTTAAATCTTTTCCCTCTCACCTTAAACCTATGTCCTCTAGTTTTGGACTTCCCTCTTCTTGGCTATTCACCTTATCTATGTCTCTCATGATTTTGTAAACCTCTATAAGGTCATCTGTCAGCCTGTGATGCTCCAGGGAAAATAGCCCCAGCCTGTTCAGCCTCTCCATTCAACCCTGGCGGCACCCTTGTAAATCTTCTCTACTCTAGGATAGTTTGAGCTTGTATGTCACAATTGTAGATTAATGAATGTTTTATTGGTAAAGCACCTATGTTTCTTTTTTAGGTCAAACTAAATATATTTAAAACTGGAATGAAAGATACTGTTTCAGCTTGGAGCAGGCATGGGTGGTATTACCTGTCATCTACATCAAGTGGTTGCAAGTTGCACTCTGGAATTCTTGCCAAATCATAGATGATATCACTGTATCCAGCTGCTGCTGCTATATGCACACTTGTCTTCCCATTTTCATCATCATAGTTTATTATAGATGGGCTCAGGTGATGATCCAGAATGAGGGAAGTCATAGCTCTATTCCCACTCTAGAAAGAAGTACAAATAAAGGGACTTAAACAATGCTGCATGATTTGACAATGATGGCAGTCTGCATTGTTCTGATGCTATAGCAATGCTGTCTTTGAGGTGGATGTGGGATGCCACAGTAGCACTGACAAGCAATAAAATGCACTGAGTGCAGTGTTCAGCTGACGTAATTCAAAATGGCTGCTAGCTTGTCTGCAGTCATTTAAAATAACTTGCATTTTTACAATGTAGCTGCATTATTAAAACATTACACCGCTAGCAAATTTCATATCCAATAGCTGTTATGTATCGTGGCCCATTATCCACTATAATATTTTCTAAGCAACCTGTTCAGAACTGTTATTACCCACTCTAGGAGCAGGTGGAACTTGAACCTGGGCCTCCTGGCTCTTTTATCCACTATGTTGTAACTATTTATAATAATTGATAAGATAATTTATTGACTGGAATGAATGGGGGGGCTTCCACTTCACTGTACTTATGTAAGAACTGGAATATTACTATTTCTACAATGTCATTTGAATGTTTAAGGTCAACAGAGGCTACTTACACGTATTATTTTGCTGGAAATATTAACCAATTTATTGCAAATCATGTGGTTGCAAGTTGCACTCTGGAAGTCAGAGGTATTGCCTCTCAAAATAGTAAATGAAGGTGGGTTATTTAAATATATTAACCTAACGTTTAAAATGTTGGTAGTTTACTGCCATTCACTGATTTTTTTAAGGACGTAACTAAAAAGATTGATGAGGGCAGAATGGTAGACTTTGTCTACATGGTCTTTAGCAAAGCCTTTGAGAATGTTCTGCATGGTAGACTAATTAGTAAAGTTAGATCATGTGGGATTCTGGGAGAGCTTGCCAAATGGAAACAAAATTGGTAGGTGACAGGGTGGTGGTGGAGTGTTCTTTTTTTGGACTGGAGGCCTGTGACCAGCAGGGGTTCCACAGCGATCAGTGCTGCATCCACTTTTGTTTGTCATTTATATATATGATTATGATAAGAATTTAGGAGGCATATTTAGTAAGTTTCTGGATGACACCAAAATTGGTTATAAAGTCAACAGTGAAGAAGGTTATCCAAGATTACAAAAGGATCTTGATCGATAAACAAAAATGCAATAGCTCCTCCTCTTGGATTCATTAAAATTCTGTGGTGCAAACTATATGTAACCATGTAATTGTACTGCAATAAAAGATAATTGCTGACAGTATACTCGTTACAAAGGAAATGTCTTTTACAAAATCACATTGCATTTGTTGACAGTGATTTGTTTAGAAAGATGACATTTATCAATTTCCGTATGATTCCTAGTTCTGACAATAAGTGTAACACTATGCTCTAATTCTCACCAAACCCTTAATCAATACCATGTAACCTAATTTCTTCATTATCCAAGGTAAAGTCTCAACTTCTTCACATTTCAGCCGAGAGAAGAAACTTTTGTTGATTTATTTCTTTGCCTACCTAGCCACGAGGCAAATTATGTTGTAACAACTGTATGTCACCAAGAGCAGCTAAGAACATATCAGAAATTGAACCAAGATGTTCCGAGTCTTTATGGTTTGGTTCCAATATAGTGCAGTTCATTTATCCCTGCTATTTTTAAATAATTCAATTTGAATTAGAAAATAATTTTACCTGCACTGCCCAGTGAAGTGCTGTTTTAAAGTCTTTGTCAACCAATGTTGGATCAGCTCCTTTCTGTAGTAAAGCCTGTACATGCTGTGGCCTGTTGTGAAAAGCAGCCCAATGCAATGGGGTCATACCCTGAAGGATAAAGAACCAAATGTTAAAATCTTGGGGCAAACATATATTTAGTTTATGATTGGAAATTTTCTTTTTCTTTGGACTGTGTCCCATAATGAAGTAAATAATGTCTGGCTTATAGCAGTTACATAATTTTTATGTAATGACAGGGTTAATTGGTAAAATGAACTTGAAAATGATGCTCAAGAAGTTCTCAAAAATTCTCTGTGCCATATTTCTCATTGGACGTGGGTATTAGCAGGCACAATTGATCCATTTTTTTCATCCTCTATCTCGTCTGAGCACATTCGTACAAAATGAGAGGATGTTCATCGTCAAGTTAGCCAGGGCAAATAGACAGCTGGGATGCGGAATAGGATAGGGAAAGGTTGGTTGTAAAAGTTTCATTCACTTTATTTTCATTAAGTTGAAGAAATATTTCAGCAGTATTGCCCTTGTTTCCATTAGGCTGCAGCTGGTCAGCTTCAGAGAGCTCTAATGACCGCCCACCCCACAAAAGAAATCTCATAAATTAAAATAGAGTACAAGAACAGGGAGGTATTGTTGAACTTGTGGAGAGAGTGCAGAAGTGAAGAATAGTTCCAGGAATGAAAAAGTTCAGATTTGAGGCTAGATTGAAGAGATTGTGACTGTTCTCCACAGAGAGAAGAGAGCTGAGAGGAGATTTGATAGCGTTTTTAAAAACCATGAACAGGCTGGACAGATTAGATAGAGAGAATCTATTCATGCTCACAAAAGAAAAAAAAACTAGAGAGCATCGATTTGAAGCGATATACAAACGAAGCAAAGGTTATGCGGGAAAAAATGTTTTCACACTTTGGGTCAGGGAATGGAATATACTGTCTGGAAATGCAGTGGAGGCAAGTTAGTTAACGCATTCAAGAGGGCATTGGATGATTTTTTGGATAGAAGTAGTGCCCAGAGGTATGGGGAAAAGGCATGAGATTGGTACTAGGGTAATAGAACTGGTGCAGGCATAATGAGCCAAATGACTTCCTTCGGCACCATAACAATACTGTGATTTGGGAAATAACAACACATTCAATTACTTTGAGAAGGAAAGGAAAGTTGAACAGAGGATAGTATTTGCAAGGGCAGTAGGAAAACAGGGAGATAGCCTGATACTTGGAGAGAATCAATTGAAGCTTGTGATAGTGAACAGTGTTGTATATTTTTAAATTCTGGCACTGACTGAATGAATTGATATATTAATTTCATGATCTTCTACTTTATTTTCTTATAATCTAATTAAAATTTACACACAGCAAAATATAATGCAAAAATCTCCTGCTTTAGTTTATGAGAGCAATTAGCCAGTTATGTCTTTTCTCCACTGTTTCCGCCAATCGTCTGCCCAAATTACAGAAGGAGATTAGAAAACCCTGATAGAGGTTATGGCTCTAGCATTGTTAATATGGTCTAGCACAGGATTGTCAGTTCTTAAACGTTTATTTGAATGATGTAGTCAACAGATTAAAAAAATCACTTTTTCATGTACCTCATTGTCTTGATGATTTATCTCACACATTGTTGTTTGCTGCAACAGTACAGCCAGCAGTCTAGAGGAAAAGAAAGATAGTTTTTAATGTAGCAATACAAAAATCAGTCATGGATAGCAAATCTGTTTATATTAATTCATAGATCTTCATGTTTAGAGGAAGGGGGGTTAACTTGCGTCTTTTTCATAAATTCATTGGTTATAGAGTCATACAGTACAGAAACAGGCCCTTTGATTCAACTTGTCCATGCCAAACAGGTATCCTAAACTGAACTAGTCCCATTTGCCTGCGGAGATAGCAAGAACCGCAGATGCTGGAGTCAGAGTCAATACATTGTGGAGCTGGTGGAACACAGCAGGTCAGGCAACATCAGAGGAACAGCATCCTAATGAAGAGTGTAAACCCAAAACATCAACTTTACTGCTCCTCTGATGCTGCCTGACCTGCTGTGTTCCACCAGCTCCACAATGTATTGACTCCCTTTTGCCCGCATTGGCCCACATCCCTCTAAACCTTTCCTATTCATGTATTTGTTCAAATGTCTTTTAAATGTTGTAATTATATCTGCCTCTACCCCTTCCTCTGACAGTTCGTACCATACACACAGCACCCTCTGTGTGAAAATGTTGCCCCTCAGGTCCTTTTAAATCGTCCCCTCTCACCTTAAACCTATGCCCTCTAGTTTTGGATTCCCCTGTCCTTGGAAAAAGACCTTGGCTATTCACCTTGTCTATGCATCTCATAATTTTATAAACCTCTATAAAGTCACTAAAATAACTCCACAGAGGCCGGTATCCTATCACCAAGTCACCCTTTATTTACATGTAGCGAGTCCTTGACACTGCTCTAGCTCTGTCAGAGTGAAAAGGATGTCTGACACACCTATTCTTATCTGTCAGCCAGGGCTCCCTGATTGGACCAGATTAACACCCCTAATCAGGGAGAACTCATATTGTATGAGGCCCACTTGGCTGATCTCATTATAATCACTGCAATTGCTCATCAGCCTCCAACGCTCCAGGGAAAAAAATCCCAGCCTATCCAGCCTCTCCTCATAACTCAAACCCTGCAGTCCTGGTAACATCCTTGTAAATTTTTCTGTACCCTTTCCAACTTAACAACGTACAGAACTGTCTGTCCAGAATTATCATCCTTTTTAGTCTCTTGCATGAATCAACTTGCTGTATTTTACTACAGCTGGGCATTTCATGACTCCCGTTTGCTGGATTTACAGTTGAATAGTTTTAAATGAAACAAAAAGTCCAGTGTTACTGGAGGTGCAGGCTGATTTTTTTTTAATTTATTCATTTGCGGGACTTGGGCATCATGGCTGGCCAGCATTTCTTGCCCATCCCTAGTTGCCCTTGAGAAGGTGATGGTGAGCTGCCTCCTTGAACCACTGCAGTCTAGCTGCTGTGGGTTGACCCACAATGCCATTAGGCAAGGAATTCCAGGATTTTGACCAGAACACTGAAGGAATGGTGATATATTTCCAAGTCAGGATGGTGAGTGGCTTGGAGAGGAACTTGGAGATGGTGGTGTTGCCATATATCTACTGCCCTTGTCCTTCTGGATGGAAATGTCATGGAACATGTCACACATGTAATGTGTGAGGATCTTTGGTGAATTTCTGAAGTACAAGTTGTAGATAGTACACACTGCTGCTACTGACAATTGGTGGTGGAAGGAGTAGATGCTTGTGGATGTAGTGCCAGTGAAGTGGGCTGCTTCTTGAGTGTTGTTGGACTTGCACTCATCCAGGCAAGGGGGGAGTATTCCTTCACACTCCTGACTTGTGACTTATAGATGGTGGACAGGTTCTGGGGAGTCAGGAGATGAATTACTTGCTGCAGTATTCCTAGCTTCTGATCTGCTGTTGTAGCCACTGTCTTTATGTGGTGAGCCCAGTTGAGTTTCTTGTCAATGATAAACCTCAGGATGTTTATAGTGGGGGATTCAGTGATGGTAACACCATGGAATGTCAAGAGGCGTGATTGGATTGCCTGTTATTGGTGATGGGTGAGTGGAGCGATGGTTTACCAGGCTGATTCTGGGAATGGCAGGTCTGAAATATGTGGAGAGATTGACTAGGTTGGGATTGTATTTGCTAGTGTTTAGATGAATTGGGGGGAATCTCATAGAGATTTATAAAATTCTAACAGGACTGGACAGGGTAGATGCAGGGAGGATGTTGCTGATGGTGGGTGTGTCTAGAACCAGGGGTCGCAGTATGAGGATTTGGGGTAGATGATTTAGGACGGAGATGAGGAGAGATTTCTTCACCCAAAGAGTGGTGAGCCTGTGGAATTCATTATCACAGGAAGTAGTTGAGGCCAAACATTTAATGTATTTAAGAGGCGACTAGATATAGCACTTGGGACAAATGGGATCAAAGGTTATGGGGAGAAAGCAAGATTAGGCTATTGAGTTGGACGATAGCCATTGTGAAGAATTGGCGGAGCAGGCTCAAAGGGCCGAATGGCCTCCTCCTACTCCTATCATCTATGTTTCTATTGTCATAGCCTGGCATTTTGTGTGGCGTAAATGTTGCTTGCTACTTGTCAGCCTAAGCCTTGATATTGTTCAGATCTTGTTGCATTTGAACATGGACTTCCTCAGTATTCCTCAGTATCTGAGAAGTTGTGATTGGTGCTGTGCATTGTGCAATCATCAGCGAACATCCTTACTTTTCACCTTATGATGGAAGGTTGTTGATGAAGCAGCTGAAAATGGTCCGGTCTAGGACATTATCCTGAGGATCTCTTTAGAGATATCCTGGAGCTGAGATGATTGATCTCCAACAACCACAACCATCTTCCTGTGTGTCAGGTATGACTCCAACAAACACAGAGTTTGCCACCGATACCCATTTATTTCAGTTTTACAAGGATCCTTGATGCCACACTCAGTCAAATACAGCCTTGTTGTTAAAAGCTGTCACTCTTACCTCACCTCTGGAATTCAGCCGTTTTGTCCATGTTTGAACCAAGGCTGTAATGAGATCAGGAGCTGAGTGGCCCTGGTGGAACCCAAACTGGGCGTCACTGAGCAGGTTATTGCTGAGCAGGTGCTGCTTGATAGCACTGTTGATGACACCTTCCATCACTTTACTGATGATCAAGAGTAGACTGTGGGGCCGATAATCAACTGAGTTGGATTTGTCCTGCTTCTTGCGCACAGGACATACCTGGGCAATTTTCCACATTGTCAGATAGATACCAGTGGGAGATAGTCATTAACAATTTATCATATTGTTAAAAGGGACTTGTGTTAAAAATTATTACAAACACAATATCACAAATAGTTTGTGATATTACAGTATAAACTCAACAAACAAGGATTGTGTAATCAGGGAGCTCTTCAGAACTAGTTTAGGAGTAAAGGCTTCCCATCTATTAGATCATAGAGTCATATAGATATACAGTGTGAAAACAGACCCTTCAGTTCAACTTGTCCATGCTGACCAGATATCCTAAATAAATCTAGTCCCATTTGGCCTATAACCCTCTAAATCCTTCCTATTAATATTCCCATCCAGATACCTGTTAAATGTTGTAATCGAACCAGCCTCCACCACTTCCTCTGGCAGCTCATTTCCATATATGCACCACCCTCTGTGTGAAAAGGTTGCCCTTAGGTCCCTTTTATATCTTTTCCCTCTCACCTTAAACCTATGCCCTCTAGTTTTGGACTCCTCCACCCTGGAGAAAAGACCTTGCCTATTTACCCTATCCATGCCTCTTATGATTTTATAAACCTTAATAAGGTCACCCCTCGGCCTCCGATGCTCCATGGAAAATAGCCTCAACCTATTCTACCTCTTCCTAAAACTCAAACCCTCCAACTCTGGCAACATCCTTGTAAATTTTTTCTTAATCCTTTCTAGTTTCACCATATCCTTCCTATAGGAGGGAAACCAGAATTGCATGCAATACTCCAAAAGATATTGAGAGTTGGGCTACAGAATTTCAAATTTGCAATTTATTTTACTGTCAGAAAGCAAGTCCCCAAAGCCAAACAATTCAATTTTAACCCCACTGCGAAGCCTCTTCTAAGGATGCCTAACCTGAAGAAGTTACCCTCCTCCCTCCGGACAAACCTCAAGGGATCTCTATCC